CTTGTCAGTCACTTACTCCAAAACTGTTTATGCCATTCCACCCTATACAGAATAAAGTTCAGATGTCTTACCCTGGCATTCAAGGCCCTCCACGAATGTGTTTTTCTAGTCCTTACTCCCACTGATATACCACATAAACTCTCTCATCCATCCATAATGGGTTATGCATTCCCAAATACACCTCATATGCACTGCCTCTGTTCATGCTTTATCCATATGACCTTGAGCAAGTCATCTGATCTCTGAGCGAAAGTTCTTCACGTGTCATATAGGGATATGTTATTAGCCCTGCTTAAAACTTAATTACCTAATAGAGTTCTGAGTCTAAAATGCGATTTTAAATTTGAAATTTCAAGTGCTAAGGATAAGGTGATGCTAGTATGCTCCACCCCCACCCCTTCACACTGCTAGTTAACGATACCTTGGGCAAGTCACTTAACCTTGGAAGCGAATTCTCCTCGGTGATCTTTGTGACCTTAGTAAACTTGGAGAGAAGGTAATTGAGCAGCAACTACCACTTGGGAAGAAACAGAACAAAAATATTGAAGATATTGACTCACCCTCAAGGCGGTAAACAGTGCTTTGGTCTTTGACCTTTACGCATCCTGGGGTAGTCAATAACCTGGCCGTTAGAAGCTGTGCCTGCCACTGATTTTGATTTGGGAGTAGTTTAACCTTGAACTGAGATCCAAGTAACCACGGCAACAGGAAGTAGGCCTCCCTAGCTCGAGAGTAGGAATCCATAAATCATGGTCCCTAATGCAAACACTGTGTGCAGGTAGAGATTTGAGGGGATAAGTGGTTTGTGAGAGATTACCTTTGAAAAATGAATGACTGTCCCTTGATATGTTAGAGCAGAGTTTCACAGAGACTTAAAAAAAAAATTATCAATAGAGGTCACCAGGTTAGAGCAGCATGTTTTCATATAGGTTTTTTTTTCCCTTCTCCAACCCAGCCCCACTTTAATTATAAGCAGATGTTGAATCCGCAGTATTATTAGCATTATTATCTCCACTTTTAAAAAAAATGCTTATTTCAATTCGACAAACATTTAAGAAACCCCTGCTATGTGCAGGGCATTCTGCTAGGAATACAGCTATCCATATAATGCGATAATACATAACTAGAAATACCAACCCCTATCCCCCCCCCCAAAAAAAACAGGCCTTTCCCTCAGCATGCTTATCTTCTCCTGGGGATTACAGCATATAAACAGATACTATAAGTAAATACAAGATAATTTGAGCATAAAGAAAGTATTCACAAGTGGAGGAGTAAGAAAAGGCTTTCTGTTTGAGATAGTTCTTGAAGTAAGCCTTGAAAGAAGCTAAGGAAGGACTCTAATACATGTTTCCATGATCTTTCTCTTGGGTCGGGCTACTCAGATGTCCTGATATATGACAAGTTTATATTTGCCCTAGTCTGTTCTGATATGGCCTTTGCTCACGGGATGCTGTTCAGCCTAGGTGCTCCTTCCTCCACTATCTCAGACTGTCCTCCTTCCATGATGAAACTGACCCCTCCTTCTTTGGATTTCTCAGAGAGCTTATCTAGGGGCCTTGCCTGTCCTGTACACTGTTCCATGCATCATAGTTATTTGTGTATGTCTGTCTTCCTCCTCAGCCCTCTAGATTGTAAACTCTTAGAGAACAGTGTCTTGTGTTATATCTCCCTTTGCCCCACCCACATCTAGCGTGGCTTCTTGCATTTAAACACCTTTTGAAATGATGTGTGTTTAATTTGCTTAGAATATAAAACAGAGGGTCAGCTAGGTGGTGCAGTGGATAGAGCATCGGCCCTGAATTCAGGAGGACCTAGGTTCAAATCCAGCCTCAATCACATAACAATTACTAGCTGTGTGACCCTGGGCAAGTCACTTAACCCCATTGCTTAGCCAAAAAAAAAAAATAATGTAAAACAGAAATTAGCCTTTGGATCAATTAGCCCCATTCCCTTTTCTGGTATCACAGTTTTAGTAACCAAGCTGTCCAGCTACATGCAAGCATTGTAATCAGTAGAACACTATTTCAGAGATAGTGATCACCTTTAGGACATTTCCCATTCCAGAAGTATCCACTGCCATTCAGAAAAAAAGGTATATTACACACTAGATTAGGCACTCCTCAATATCCCTCCAAAATATTGTCCAACCATTCTGCCTCTTGCTGAATGCCGGTGCTGGATATTGAAGCTGTTCCACATTCCTCAGGGTCTTTTTCAACCTGTCTTCCATCAAAATACCACTACCCCAGTTGCTTCTCAGGAGCCACCTGGAATGAAATGGAAACTGAGAATTTATGTGACCTTCCCAGTTGTCTCAATAGTTAATGTCATTGTATTCCTGCCTCCCTTCCTGAGTTTTGCTCTTTAGCCAGTTATGCGCCACACACATGGTCTTGCTTTAGGTACCGTGTGCAGCCACATGTGATATTCTTACACAGGTGTTTTGCTTCTTGAGCTGTTATCCATTCCCTGCATGTAAATAAAAAGTCAAAAAAGAAAGGTCAAAAAATTGTGGAAATCCAGGGTCTCTCTTGGCCTTCCTTTTATAGTTTGCTTTCAGAAGCTTTGGATGGTTACTAGCAACAATAGTTGCGTAGAACTTACGTTAAGTCAGAGAAAGAGGGTCAGTGTAAATTATTAAAAATCTCAACTTAGAGATTTTTCCCAAAAGTATATACAGTAACTTAAACTAATAGGTTTAACGGAACCATGCCTGGTAGAGACCCTGCTTTCACAAGTAGATAAAGATTATAGAGTTTAGAGCTGCTAAGGACTTTAGGACTCACCTTGTCTAACTTTTTCTTTTTAGAGATAGGGAAATTTTGGTCCAAAGACCAATGTAAAGCAACTTGATCTAAAGGTATATGCATGAAAGCAATGGCTACTGAAGTTTTCAAAACCCATTTGTTCTGTTACATAGTCTAAATATTCTATTTCTAGGGTGAGTTCTACTTTTAATTTGCTTCATAAATCATAATGAGAATAAAGATCAATTTAATTCTGCATCAAGCCTGTGTCTACAATGCCACTATTCCCACCTCAGTGAGGTTCAAATAATGGCAGAATTCTTACACAACCTTAACAGCCAATGGGGGAAAAAAGTACATTCTGAGAGAAGAAATATCTGCTTCCATTTAAAATAAATGTTACTGCTATTCTAAAGATCACTAAAGCAATGGACCTTAATCATTAGACCCAGATTCTCTCCGTTATCAGAGTTAACGGCCATCAATTGCAGCCATCCATACATCTAATGCCTTTATTGTCCATTGAGCCTTTGCATGATCTTCCATATTTCCTCACCTTCGTAATTCAGGGCTTTATTCTTTTTCCTTTGTCTTATTATCTTTTTAGGGTGATTTAATGATATTTTATTTTTCCTCTCCCCTTCAAAATGTAATAAAGTCTAAATTTAAGAATGTAATTTTTAAAAGTTATACACTATACCTATAAGCTTAACATCCTCCAATGTTCTTCCTAAAACAGAGGCTGTGACCCTTCTCCTTTGGTTAGAATTAGGAAGCCACCTTCCCTGATTTATCATTGGTAGTTGGCTGCATATTCCTATTAGGATTGCCAGTTATGGGACATCTTTTGGTCAGCTATAGCTAAATATTTTTAGATGCCAGTCTCCCCTGGACCAGGGACTGTGGGTTGTGTCAGTTTGGTAGAGTGGTACAGATGAGCCAAGTGTGGCCTGAAGAGTCTAAGTATGGCCTCTGACCACAAGTTGAGGAAAACCAGGTCCTCTGACTCCAGAGCCAAAAAAAAAAAAAAAGTTTCCACCTCATTACCCAAACACTTGACAGAAAATCAGGTACCCATCTTAAAGCACAAAGTACCTGCATTTGATAACAAGGATAATGTCAATGACTATTTGAATTAATGCCCACTTAGAAGGCTTTCAGTAAGTATTTGATAACACCAATGAGCAAGGTTGGGTAACGGGTTCAAAAGAAAGAGAGGAGCCAACAGGTAATAAAGGTCAGGGACTCCATACATATAGCTCTGAAACATCTGATAGAAAACTAAAGAATCCAGGTAGTCATCCAAATTATTTCTTTTTTTTTTGTTTTTGTTTTTGCTTTTAGACAATTGGGGTTAAGTGACTTGCCCAGGGTCACACAGCTAGTAAGTAGCAAGTGTTTGGTCTCAGGCCAGATTTGAACTCAGGTCCTCCTGACTTCAGGGTTGGTGCTCTATCCACTGCTCCACCTATCTGCCCCGAATTGTTTCTAACTGTACAACAATAGAGTTTCCCCAGATCCAGCTCTACCAGCATTTTATAGACAGTGCTTAGGGCTGGTAGGTGGTACAGTGGATAGAAGGCTAGATCTAGGGCCAAGAAGTTGTTGTTGAGTTGTTCAGTCATGTCTGACTCTTCATTATCCCATGGACCATACTGTCCATGGGGTTTTCTTGGAGAAGATACTGGAGTGGTTTGCCATTTCCTTCTCTAGTGGATAAAGGCAAACAGAGGTTAAGTGACTTGCCCAGGGTCACACAGCTAGGAAGTGACAGAGATCAGACCCACTCATTTGATCCTCACAACAGCCCAGTGAGGTAGGTGCTGTTATGATCCCCATTTTATAGTGGAAAAACTGAAGCAAACAGAGGTTAAGTGACTTGCCCAAGATCACACAGCTAGTAAATGTCTGAGGCCAGATTTGAACTCAGGTCTTCCTGACCCTGGAGGCAGCTAGGTGGCTCAATGGATTGGAGCACAGGTACCACCATAAACTTGAGCCCATATCTTCCAGACCCCAAGGACAGCATTCTATCTACTGTGACACTTTGACAATCTTCAATTGTTTGTTTTATTGATGCATTTTGTCTTTATATCACTTACTTTCTAGAAAAAGCCCCTCCCCCACACCAACTTCACCCATCCCTTATAACAAAGAAAACCAAGCAAAAATACCTAATTTGTGACTACATCTGACTCTTTTCTAGTTCCTACTAATTAACCTAGCACTTGTGGTGATATCATTCTCTAGGAATTGCAAGTCCCCTTTTAAAAGCAGACCAGACTTCCGTGAATAGTAAAAACGAGGGCCCAGCCTCTACCATGATGACCAGGAGAAAGCCACCATCGGTTGAAAGTATTGCAATAGCCCCAGCGCCAGTATTATCTCTCCTTGCTTCCACGGCAGCAGCATCTGAAGCAGGTGAGTCCTGCAAAAATCTGACGAATCCATGTCGTCTATGGTGGGGGCTGAGGGGAGCACGCTAGGACTGTTCATGCATGCACTTTTATCCCTAGCTCCTCGTACATTCCCTGGCACATAGTAGGTGCTTAATAAATGCTTGGTGATTAGTTGATTTTTGCATGTCATATACTACTATTGGACTGTACACTCTAAGGTTTATCTTGTGTAAAATTTGTATCTTCTCTGGAGGCTAGCACAGTACAGATACAGTGCTCAAGAAGTCTTGGCTAAATTTGAAATACAGCCTCTCTTCTTTAAAATCTCTCCAACACACAGATCTCTTCTTCATTTGAACTCACGGAATTTATTTTCTGTATCATTTATTTTCCATTTAATCACATACTGCCTTGAAATGTTTCTTGCATTATATTGCATTATATGGTCTTATGTTGTATTGCCATTTCACTTTTATGCTTATTGCTGTCCTTCTACAATTCTATTATGAGCTCTTTGAGGGCAGAGCCCCAGTCTTATGTTTTGTGTGTTTGTTGTTGTTGTTGTTGTTGTTTGGTACCCTCTAAAGCACTCAACTCAAAGATGTGAATATGAGAGGCTTAGTAGGAGGTCCATAAATAAGTGTTGAATGAATGAATGAATGAATGAATGAACAAATAAATGAGTGATTTCTGGCCATAGTAAGAATTATTGCTATTAAATTTTAGAAACCATACAAGGGGGTTGTCAACTGTAGCCTCTAATTGATTGATTCATTTTGTCACATAAGTCAGCCTGTCTGGACCTCTCTATAGTGATGTTTCTCCACACCACTCAGTTCCTAAGACATAGTCACAGCTTCCAGGAGTCTGTGACATCACCCAAAGAGGGCCATGGCTTGACCCCAAGAAGTTTGTGATCAGCCAGAGAGTGAGAAATAGGTAATATCCAACTCTCCTCAAGACTGAAAGGCATGGAGGTTGTCTCCGACATAACTATACCTACTCTTCACCCATTACATCCCAATAATCCTCAACTCCACCACTTACCACCGTACAAGCTCCCCGCCTTCCCCATTCTGAGGGGAATTGCAGGGATTTGGTATCACCCACCACACGGACTAAATTAGTAATATCTGGGATTCAGTTCTTCTGAAGGAGGGAAATGAAGCCTGGCCTTTCTGGTCTTCTTCTTCCTTCATATTCTGTCATTCCTTCAGGGGAACATTGCTTTGCTAACTCTTTTTTTTTTTTTTTGCTATCTTTCTGGGATTTTTTCTCTCCTGTATTGTTGCCTCTGCCAGGCTTCTCTATTCCTGAGGTCAGGATTGTCTAAAAATAGCCTAAAGCCATTGAATTGTTGAAAGGTCCTCTAGGAGAATTTTAGGTCCCTCAGGGCAATTATAGCCTAATTCCCACCACAGCAACTGCCACTGGGAAAATCTCTCTCTCTCTCTCTCTCTCTCTCTCTCTCTCTCTCTCTCTCTCT